TATGAACATTTTACAATAGAAAGAGAGAAAACTATCAAAAATTTTTTTTATTTTATAAGCTAAATATTATTCTTTTAATAAATAAATTTAGATTTAACATTAATTCAAAAAAAATTTTTTAGTAGCTTTCTTCCTTTTTATGCAAATCATTTATATTATTTTAATTATAATTCTTTAAGTAATAAATTTAAATTTACGATTGTAATATAGACTGATCATATAAGAAGTAAATTATTTTATCATAATATATTCAGTTATATTATGTTATAGTACAGTAAATATTTGCATAAACTTAGTAACAACTTTTACAGATATAATTAGAATTAAATGTTATTCTAAAAAATGTTACTAACTTTAAATTTGAAATGTATCATAGTAAAAGAAAAAACTAAATAAATTAATTTAAAATAGCATTATTATATAGCATATTATGACCTTATATTTTATAATATTTTTTTATATAATCAATGAAGTAAAGATATAATTAGTATAATTATTTATTAAATATATTTTTATATAATATTAATTAAAAGATAAAAAAATTGTATATATTAATATTTCTTTATTAAATTTTATTAAATACGCAAAATAAACAATTTTTTATTATTTTAATTGAATAATATTTTTATTATTTTAATTAAACAATTTTTATAATTTATTTAAAATGATAATAATATTATTTTAATTAAATGATGCTTTTATTATTTGTTTAAATAATATTTTTATCATTTCAATTAAATAATTCTTTTATGATTTATTTAGAATGATATTATTATCATTTCAATTGAATGATATTTTTATTATTCATTAAAATGATATTTTATTATTTCAATTAAATAATTCTTTTATTATTCATTTAAAATGATATTTTATTATTCTAATTTAACAATTCTTTTATTATTTATTTAAAATAATATTATTATTATTTCAATTAAATAATATATTAATTATTTATTTAGAATGATATTATTATTGTTTTAATTAAATAATTTTTTATTATTTATTAGAATATATGATTATTATTCTAATTAAATAATGAAAATATTTAGATTAATCTGAATTATTTATAGTTTTAAATATAGTATGAAATTTTGAAAAACTAATTTTATCTAAAGATTATAATTCTATTAAAGTTTAAAATTTTTAAGATGATAGATTATTAAGATAATAGTATTTTTTAAAAAAACTCTTAAGTATTTTTTGTTTTTTATTATTTTTATATTATATATAAATTTACTTATTTTATTTTTTATTTATTTATTAAAGGAAAATGATTTTAAAGTATAAGTATAGTTTACATTTTTACATTAAGTATTTAAAATATTAATCTATTTTTTAATATATTTAATTATATTTAATAATACATAGCTTTATTAAACCTTTAAAATTCCTTAATTATATGTTTAAAATAAATTTAAATTTGCTAATTATTAAAATTAAAATAATATTAATATAATTTAGTTTTAATATGTAAAATTACTTATAATTTTCATTAACAAATTAAATTTATAAAAGTAAATTATTTGAAAAAAGAAAATTTATCTATAAAATAATTTTTATTTATTTATATAAAAAAGTTTAAAAAATAGTAATAATAGCTTAATTTTAGAACATGAAATAAATTGCTAATCTAATATTTTGAACTAAATAGTTTTTGCTAAAGCTTTAAATGAATTAAGTCAGATCAGGTTACAGGTTATATTAAAAAATTAAATAAACAATTTTTTAAAATATCTTAATATTTAGTAATTGATAAATAGCTTATTGAATTTATCTTGATATAATAAATTGAATAGTAGCTATTTTATTTTAAATAAATTAATATTGACAAAGTTATATATATTTTATATTTATATATTAATCTATAATATGCATTTTAAAATTTAATATAGTAAAATTAAATAAGTTATATTTTAGTAATTAGTGATTTAAAATTAATAATTTAGTTTGTTCGATTTATTTTTATAAGAGAAATTGAATAGTAATTATTATATCTTAAACAGATTAATATTAATAAAAATATTAAAATTTGAATTTTTAGGTTAACTTATAGGTCACCTGATTTATCAGATCAAATTTGAAGCTTTAGTTTCTATTACCTATAAAGTAGTTAATAATATTAGAAATCAAATTTGATTTACATAATATAATAGTTATTTAGCATTTTGTAAGCATAAGTAAAGTCTAAATTTAATGATATTATTATATAATTATTTATATATATTTATAATAGAATTCAATTAAAAAATGATTTATCTTATAAAAACTTTTTTTACTAAATAATCAGTGATAAAACTTCATATATATACTTTTTCAAAGCTATTTTTTTATATTGTTAACGTGCAATCCTTGCGAATTGTGACAGTTAGACGGGGTGTTCGAGTGGTGATTCTTTTAAATTTATGTAGTGACTCAATTCAGTTTAACTCAAGATTTAGAATCTACACAGTAGTGTATTCACGATAAGACTAAAAGCAAAGTGACTCGATTGATTCAGAGGTATAATAATATGTTTATTGATAATAATAATAATAATAAAGATATGAGATAATAATAAAAAAATAAGAAAATAAGAAGTAATATGAAAAGAAATCAAAGAGTTAAAGTACTAAGTGGAATGTTAGGCTAGGCGTCTCTACAAGAACTACTAGATGTGTATCTAAAAGCAGGACTAAAGGAAAACTAAAAGTGAACTAAAAGCGAACTAAAAACGAACTACCGTTTTACATAATTCTATTGCTCTCTATTTATACTAAATTAATACATAGATGGATATAACAAATAAATCAAATAAATCAAATATATCTTATATGTCCGATATGTCTAAGATATTAATTATATCAAATATGTTTGGTATATCAAATATATCAAATACGTCTGACATTTAGATCTGCAATATGCTGCACCACGTTCATCAATCCAATCCTGTTACAATATAGATTTCTTAAATTTAAATAGATCTGAATATTTAGCAAGTTATATAAAAGTAAATTTTATATAATAATAAGTAAGTAATTTAATTAAGAATTTTGTGAATATATTATATTATTAAGTATTAACTTATTCAGATTTTTATTGATTATATTTTGTAGATATATTACTAAATACTTATTTGATTAAATGTATTTATAAAAAATACATATACTTATTAGCTTTTATTTATTTTTATCTCTTCTATCTTTTTATTATTTTTATGAGAAATATCTTTTATATATAAATATTAGTATAAATAAGAGTTTTTTAAATCTTTTTTTTTAATATGAATCAATATATTATTCATTTATTCTGCTTATAGTTTATTAAAATTAACTATTTTTTTTAAGACCTGTTAGAAAAATTTTTACTATATGATTTAGATAATCTAAATTTGCTAAAATTTCTTGAATATATAAGAAAAAAGATTGAAAGATGAATTTTACTAAGTTTATTGCCTATATATTAGATAATTTGATCAAATAATTCAATTATTACTCTAATAAAGCTTAAGTTTAAATAAAAACTATTATAATTATTCTCATTTTTAGGTTAATTGTAATGTTTTAAAATTAAGTATTTCTTATTTTATTATAAGATGCTTAATTTTGGGTATTTTTAAATTATCTTTTATTGAGTCTGCAAATTTTTATTTTAAAAACTATCTAATGATTATTAAATGAATTTGCTAAATGATTATTAGTAGTATATTACAGTCAACTCTTGTTATAACGAACTCTATGTCCTAGACCTCAACTTCGCTATAAGGTTATAGTGAAGATTTTAAGAGATTTGATTGGCCAATTCGCTATAACAAGAGTATTTTTATTATATTTGTTCAAAAAATTCGTTATATCAAGAATTCGCTATATTAAGAGTTGACTGTATATCATTTATATAATATATTGAAAACACAAACTATAATTTGTCACTAATCTTTTTATAACTTTGTCTTACAAAATATGTTACCACAAAAATGTAAAAAGCATTAAAAAAAATAATGATAGACATAAAAAAATGTTCAGCGTAATCGCAATTCATATTCAATTGAACAAAAGAGACAAGTTGATTTTTTATGCTAATAAAAACACTTTAGTTTTGATTACAGTATAGTTAGTTATTGGGTAAAAGTAAATAAAGCCAAGTAACTGAACTGAACTAAAACAGATTTTGATAAAAGTTGTTCAAAATAACTATAATTGTCTTTTACTGTAAATTTCTAATAAAGAGTAAAAAAAGTCATATTGAAACTTAATAAATATAATTGCAATTAATAAAAATTTACTGAAACTAACTAAATGAACCAAATTAATTGACTATTTAATAATATTAACGAATACTATACAAAATAGATAAAAAAAAGTATCATATTAAACTTCCTCGTAATTTTGACTATAAATTATTATAAAATTAATAAAGTAAATGATTAAAGTTGTTGAACTTACCGGTTTTCTTAATTGATTTAATAGCATGATCATGATCATTCCTTTCTGAATTATAGCTTCTCTGCAATGTCCAATTGGACATATATAAGTTTATATATTCAAATAGGTAAATGTCTGTAATTTAGGAAGGCAGTATTTGTAATAAGAATTATTTCTCAGTAAAGTAAAATTTGTGAACCAAATTATCTAGTTACATTTGCATTAAAGAGGTGTGCATTTAATGAGAAATTTTTATATAATTGAACTGAATGAGAGTGTGAATTTAGAAAGAAAATATAATAGTATGTGCATTTCGAGAGTGGTTTTTTGATGATATTTAACATGACTTTATCTCGATTTTTTGTAGTTAACGCGTTTTATTAATCTAAAAAATTACATACGCGGGACTTAAAATAGATGTGTCTAGTAAGCCCTGGTATAACATATTGACTTTTTTTCGATAATATATTTATATCATATATTAAAGTTGAATTTGATAGCACAACATCAATAAAAAAAAACTCCCCATTATTATAGTTGCAACATTAATGAATAAATGCTCTAAAGAAATTTGGACTGTTTCATCCAAGTCAAAATTTTCATCTAGTTATCATTGATCATTAAAAAGTCCTACATAAAAGGAATGTTATTCTGCGGATTAGCATTTTGTATTACTAAACGGCAATCGATATCTTTATAAAACAAATTTTACATACAATTGGTACCTCATTAAAACATTGAATATGTTTTAGTCCTGTTGAATCTTTTTCCGTTTGTGCCAGAAATAATGTAGCACCATATTCTTCTCGCGGAACTTGCTGGAAAACAATAGGTGGATAACCATTTCGAATGAGATATAATGCCATAATCGAACGACCAACACGTCCATTACCATCATAATGGGTGATTATGAAGGAAGGTTGAAAGTATACGACATGCGATTATAATTGGATGAAGACCTCTGTTTTTGTTGCTCTTATCACGAAACTGTACTGTATGAACCTTTCCATCAATGCAGAAACTTCCATTGGGAGCTACAGAAAATACTAAGTCAGTCATAATCAAATGTTGATAAAAGAATCACAAAGGAATAATAACTCACCGGATAAACAGTATAGATAGAGCCACGTGACTCTACTTCTATCTCCTGCATGTTGAATAAGCTCATCTTCGTTATCATGAAATTTATCATCTTCCAATTCGACTTCTCCATTGTTGTATCCTTCAAAAGAATGTGATGGAGTCTCTTAATATGACGAAGGTCAATTTCGTGCGTCAAATCATACAAAGTATTATAAAGAAAGTGAGTCGCAAGTAGATGATGGTTCCGGATTTCAATGACTTCATTTTCTGGTTCAACGGAAGGTGAACTCGGTAAAGGTAACAGTGTTTCCGAATCTTTCAGAAATTGTAGTTCCTTCTGAGTGAATTCCAAACTTTTTGTGTATCGTACAATCCTAACGTATTCCCTTCTATGACACAACTTTGCTGCTCACGATCATACTTCGTAAAAAATCTACAACTGGGTTTTTTGCAGAGACTTTCAGGGCATCGATTTCTTTCAAAAAATCGCCATATTTTGCTTGAAAGTTTGTCGAGAAGAAATGTAAATCAACTTTTTAAGGCGAAAAATTGCAAGTCGTAAAAAAATTCGTAGCTCATACCATAATCTTGTGCGCGCCATTCAAATGGACGAAAGTAGTTCTCCCAGATTTTCCCAGATTTAATAAGCTTGGTCCATCCTTTTTTATAATTCATAAGAGGGGAGTAAACCTGTAAGCAAAATAAGTCAGAAGAGAATTGTTTGATATATGGTTAAGTACAATAATTTCAAAGAAAGTGAAAAGAACCTCTCTTAAGCCAGCAAGTCTCTCTTCCACCTGTGTCGCATTACTTTTTTGTTTGACGAGAATAAACTGAGTTGAAAGCACTTGTGGCGACCATAGGAGAAGGTAGAACTCGTCAAAGGGGAAAAGAGTATCTTACGTAACATGACAAACGATTCTGATTTCCTTCCAATTTGTCATCAGTTTTTCTTGTCCAATTCAACCACTGATTAATGTTAATCATGTACTATAAGGTGGTAATGTTAAATTGCTCTCCAGTAAACCGAATTTTAAGAAAGTATATTCGCGTGTAGGTTCCTTTGATATATTGATCACATTCCAAAAGGTGTGATAAAATTATATTTAATGATAATTTAAGCTTTACAAATGTAAAATCTCGTGTCGGTTCTTTGGATAATATTCAACACGGTGGTGATGTTAAAATATTTGATGAAAAATTAAAATTTAGAGAATTAGCTACTCCAAAAATAATTAGTCATTCTTCCACCACTTCTAACGTTGATTCTTCGGTTATCGCTGATGTTCCTGAAGATTATAATGATAGTCCTCCCTCACATGAGGAATATCAGACTTTATATAATACTCCTCATACGCCTGTTATCGAAGTGATGTCTCCTATTATGGAACGTTTCGAAGCAGAAGAAATACGTGAAGTTTTCTCTCATATCGTCAAAAATGGATTTCATGATTCATTTCAAGACCGGTTGAAGAACTTGCAACGTTAAACGACATGGTTTTTGCGTTAAAAAAGTAATGAAGGAGTAGCACGAAATGAAATTATTCTGCCTATAATTTTCCCAGTACCACTGGGGGAAAAATTTAACTTGTAGATTGAACGTGATGATCGTTGCGCGACACTAAATTTTCTACAGGAGTGTTGTAATAAACGTGTCTTATGATCTAGACACCATTTGTGACTTTAAAGAATCTTCATCACAATCATCGATTTACTCGATTTTAATGGCTGATCGAAATTGTTAAAGCAAAATTTTTTTTTTTATATAATTTTTTTTTTATTTTTCAAGCCGAATTTTCGATTACATTGTCAACGACTTTATTGTTAAAATTGACATTTATTTTTCTTGATCTAGACTTGCTCAAAGAACGAAAATAATCAAAAAAAAAAATAAATCATATGTATTTTCTACTCTGATCGCGAGATTACACGCTTTAAAAACTTTGATAACACAAAATAAAATATAAAAAGTTTATTTTTCAAATAAAGTGAACTGGTTTTGTTCGTCTTTATTATAATACAATACTTTAACATAACGCTTTATTAATATAAATACATATACAATTTACATATATCAAAAAAAAAACACGAAAACTAGTAATCTTTATTTGTTTACCTGACCTTCCTACAACAAATATATGCACACGCAAACTAAATAAAAGGGAAGAAAAGATATCCTTACCGAAAACCTACAAAAAAATTGCGAGGCCCCATCTAATACCTAAACCGAAAATCGAAAAGAAACGCGGACGGACGGACGGACGGATAACCGACTAAAAAGATATAACTAAAATAGTTAAAACAAAGAAGAAGGGTAGCAGAGGGGTAGAGGTGTAAGAGAAAAGGATATCCTTACCGAAAACCTACAAAAAAATTGCAGGGCCCCATCTAAAACCTAAACCGAAAATCGAAAAGAAACACGGACGGACGTACTGACGGACGGACAACCGACTAAAAGATATAACAAAAATAGTAAAATAAGGAAGAAGAAAAATATTTGTTAAAAGAAAATGTCATATAATAGAACTATTAAAAACACGACTTTGAAGTTTTTATGTGCATATATTTGTCGGGAAGTTGCAGAAGAGAAAAAAAAAAATAAACGAAATAAAAAGTAGAACCCTTATATATCCGCGATAAATATTTTGGGGTACAGAAATTTTGGGGTTGAATATGCGTAATCGCAGACACGTGATATTTCGTGGCACATCAGCTCCACACTAAAATTCGATTGGATGAATTATTAACCAATCATCATTTACGAAATTTTATTTAAGCATATTTCGCATTATATGGAGTTTTAAACCGGAATTTTTATATTTTCTACAAACCAAAAAAGATTTTCTGAGATCAACAATTTAAAATATACAGGTGCTGATCAAAATTATGCGAACACTTTTCAAATAAAAAAAAAATATACAAAAAATATATTGGAAATAAAATATACTAATATTTAATTCTATTGCCATTTGTGGCAATAATTGCTTCAATTCTCTGTAACATACTATTAATCAGTTTTTTATAATATTCTGAAAGAATGTCCTTTCAAGCATCTTTAACATATTTTTCAAGCTCTCAAATATTTTAATTTGCAGCCAATCAAATTTCGTTAACTTGTGACCAATCAGAATTTGGTGATTATATAGAGTTTATTTTAATAATAAAAACAATATGTACACTCCCTCCAAAAAATATCTGACCACTTACTGATCATTTACTGATTATTTAAAATTATAGCTGATTTTAACATTTATTACTTAACAATTTATTAATAAAATTTTTACAAAATTTATATATGTAATACAAAAAAGCTTATATTTTTTATTTATATTATTAGTATCTAGTTGAATTGCTATAACTATCTATTACAGCTTAAACCCTTTATGATATACTTTTAACTAAATTTACTAAAATTTTAAGTTTGATTTGATTCTATTCCTCTTTTAAAATTATCATTAATTCTTTAATATTTTTAAATAAGGTTTGTGTACCCAAATTTTTCTTTCTAAAACATTCTATAGATGTTCAATTGGATTAAAATTCAGGCTTTGTGCAGGTCATAGAAAACTTAATACTGAATTACTCTCTTTCTATTGATTAATTACACTTGTTCTATAAACTGAAGCATTATCATCTTGAAAAATATATTGTAAATTATTTTCAAAACTGTTATAAAATAATAAAAAAGTATTTTTTAACATATTAATATATATAGAATCTGTAATTCTATTAGAAACTTGAATTAAAGAACTAAGCTTATCTTTCGCAAATATCTCTATACTATAACATCTTGATTTCCTGATTTTACTATTAGAATTAAACAATTTATATCAAATTTTTCATATAACTTACGCTAAAACTTAATGATAAACATTATTTTAAAATAATAAAAAATAGGATTCATCACTCCATATAATCAAATTTTACTCAGAATTTCAATTTCTTCTTTTGTGATACTATTTTAATCTTTTTTTATAATTTACTTCAAAAACTAATAGTTTTCTTTTATCTGCTTGACCAAAAAACCCCTCAAAATATAAAACACTTCTTACAGTATTATAACATACTGAATTTATTGATAAATCTTTAAATTTTTCTGTTATTTTATTTAAAGACTATTGACAGTCTTTTTTAATAATTTTTATAAGATGTCTAACATTTCTTTCTGTTAATTTTAGTGGCCTGTCTAGTTGTAAAATAGCTGTAGTTTAGTTTTTATTTTTATAACTAATTATTATATCATGAATAATTGATTTAAGATATTTGAGGATAGATCCAATATTTTTTTCACTATAATCTCCTTTCTAAAGTCCAATAATCTCTTTTCACTCAAAATTAGAAAGTTAACTCCTTTTAAATATATTTTTTAAAAAAAGATTTTTTTATTTTTAAATTATTTGTAATTGCACCTACATGAAAAAAAAAATTTTTTATTTATATGCATTAGTTGTGGTATAATTCAAATTTTAATATGTTAGGATTTGCAATGATTGATGAGTGGTCAGATATTTTTTGGAGGGGAGTGTATATTACAAATTATGTGGTGATAGTAATTATAATCGATTTGTGATTATAAAGAGGTAAATTAACTAAGTTAAAGTCTATTTTACCAACATCGGATTCTTATATAAAGTTGTAACTGTATAATATGTAATTATATAGAGATTTAACTGTATATATCTTTGACTATAATTAGGTAAAATAGTTAACGATCAAAATTATATAACCAAAAGTTTAACCTTTAACTAATGTTTCTAATTCTTCAGGTGATTCTAAAGGAATCAGTTCAGCATAAACAATTTTATCAGTCATATTTAAAACTAGTGTATTCACCTGCATCTCGTATAAATTTCTAGAATTAACTTAAATAAAATGAAATATTTTTATAGATCTGCTATTGAATATGGTCTTGATTCTGAGAAATTTTTGATAATTACTGAGACTGTAAAAAAAGTAAATACTTTCGTAGTACCTTGAAAACTAATATGCAATTTATCATGATACAATAGAGAAAAAAGAAGATCTTAAAAAATAATATAGATCTTAATAGGTAGAATTATTATATTGTAGTATTTTAAAAAGTTATTTAAGTATAAACAAAATAAATTTATTAAAATTTTTGGGTTATCATTTAAAATTAATTCAGCCTAAATAAATTTATTATTACATTAAATATTAAAAAATTAAATTTACAGTAAATGATTTATTATTAATTATTATAATTATTTTTTATTATTATTGTACCAATATCTTTATTTTTTAAAGATAATAAAATAAATGACTGTATGGTTCAATGATCTTATAAAAGAATATACTGACTTTATACAAGTTTTCTCTAGTGATTCTTTAAGCTTGAAAATATTGAATACTAAGATAAAAGTAGTATTACCTATTCTTTAATCTGATAATCCAATCTATAACTAGGCATATTTTCACAACAAAATCTTAAAATTCTATTCTTGTATATCTTTTAATCATAGTAATGATAGATCTGAAAATGTATACTGATATAAGGCAAAATCTTCTTTATATTCATCATGTGAGACGAATCATAAAGTAAATCAATATAGGAAAAGATCTTATCATATAGGTTATATGTTTAGATATATAATGAAAGGACTCAAGGTGGTAAAATAGTCACAATTTTTTATATATTAGTCACAATATTTATTTCTGATTTGTATTTATTTATTTTTATATGATGCGTTATGCTACTATTATATAAAGAATATTTTTTGAATGGTTTATACTGAAAAATTCACATTTTGGAATGCTAATCCTGATTACTTAACAAAAAAGTTGGAAACTTAATTTTTGAACATATGAATTAGTTTTATATAAATAGATAATTATTTCAAATAATGAGTGATCTAATAAATTTTTCAATGACGTTAAAAGTAATCTTCAAAGTATGTTAGAAAATATCTTAAGAAGCATATAAAGA